GATGCTATCTTTGTCTCTGTACATTTTACATAGTCCCACCTCGTTTTATTTTATCATACATGTAGAGCCTAAGGGGAGGGGAGTCGAGACAGATAGTAACAAACAAGCATGGATTGTGGTCATAAAATAAGGGACGCAGGTGCGTGCATGCAGACACACGTTAAAACACGCACGGTCACAGAACTTTATATTGATAGAGCATAAAAATTCTGACATCACCGTCAACACCTAGCGTGCCAGAAATGGTCCCCGATCAACGCAACTGGGCATTTTTTTTTTTTTTTTTTTTTTTTTTTTTTTTTTTTTTTTTTTTTTTTGCTTCAATGCCAGCTGGTCATTTACTTCATGGAAATATATGGGGCATCCACCTCCTTTCTCAGAGAGAGTATGACAGGCTTTTAGTGTCCTATGTTCTCTGCTGCTGCACGTCATTGATTGATATGAGCAAACTTTATAACGGATATTTACCCAATTAGACAATTTCGTATCGTATTCTCGAGTGTTAATTTCCTAGAACTGCAATTTTCGTAATTGCATGCTACATGTAGACTATTGTGTTTTTATAACGGTAGAGCTTGTGAGTTTTTTTTTTCATCCGTTTCCAGTGCAAATTTGAGAGAAACGTGGACAGTACATGTAACCTTATGTAGCGCGGTTTTTATTATTAAGAGACTGAAATATCATCAAACTCTTTTCAGCCGGACGACTAGCACTTCTCCCAAAGAATGCTATTTATCAGGTTCGGCGGTGATGGCTGTTTGTGATGAAAGTGCTCAGCATTCTATAATTGTCACCAAGGTGTGTGACGGTTTTATGTCGGGTTCAGCGTCTCCTCCCCCTTCTGCCAGATAAACTAGGACATGAAAACGAAATAAACGAATTAAAAAAGGCAGGCACTTCAACGGGGCACTGGATATCAAAAGAGGTTCACTGGTAGCGATGTCTCTATTAGGCGCCTCCCAGGAGTATTTCATGCTCTAGATGATAAGCGTCTCATCTCTTACCCCTGGCCACGTATAGCACCCTGAGGATATAGTGTTAAATACTGACCCATTGAGATGTTAGGACGATGGCGTGTATTATTATCTTAATTATGAAGTCTCTTAATCGACCATAGCCTTGACGCCTTGACCTCAGAGAGGGAAATTAACGGTGATGTTTCTCATAAAGATGACTGTTTCACTTTCATTGACCCGCACTTTGAATAAATTCATGAAATAGAACGCGGTCATTAGGTAATTAATTAATTAATTACGTTTCCAATATTTACTGACGCTCTTTACTTACAGAGTGCTTCAGAGACATATCTACATTAAAGAGACAACTGTCCTAAGCTCTCCCCAAGACAGGGTCACAGAGAATATTTCACTAGATATTTATCTAGACACATTTTGGACACATTTCTGTACTGTCCACCGAGAGATTTTTGCCCCAAAAAGAGATGAAAAACGTTATCCTCAAGTTCAAGTATTATTAGTCTGAGAGTAGGCTTGCTTAAGCACATATGCCTTCCATAAAATATAACTGATGCAATTAATAGCAGCTCATCTGCTCAATTTAAAATACGTATTATACCGTTAAGTTTAAGAAATATTTTGGAGCGGTGGGCATGTCGTATGTCTCTGCTCAACCATTACTCCATATGGCTTCCTAAGAAACTGGATAATTCTCAGAACATATATTTCACATTTACTACTCTTTGATCTTTCAAATATCACGAATCACACTAATGTAAGGGCAACGTATTTCACCGTGTCAGCGCAGTAAGCAGAAACGTATTAGTAATAGCCTTGTTTTGTGAAATCAGCGAAGTAAAGTGGAATTTCCTTGATAATCGTTCATTCAATTTAAATTATATTGGTATTAATCACGTTATTGGGAAATTGTTTCACGCTGTTCTGTTCCGCCTGGACTTAATGCAGCATGGTTTAATGATTGTACGAATGTTATGAAAGTTTCGTGGAAGATGTTTGGAAAACAGATTTCCGTTTGAAGTAAAAGAACTTGTATTGCATGAACTTATATATAGAGCACTTGTTTTTCCTACGAGAGCCATCTCTGATTTTGAAAACGACCCCTTTACTGGTTAGTTTTAGTCAAATACAGGGTACCTGATATACGCCAGTTTTTTACTTTCTCGTCATGGTCTCTCTCTCTCTCTCTCTCTCTCTCTCTCTCTCTCAAATTCAAATATTCACACACTTTTCCAGATACTCCTATCCCCTTACATAATATCCCCACCCGTTTTGCACACCAAGTACAAAATACATCAAAGGAAAGTTCAGCTGAACACACAGTCGGAACCCTGACAATCAGTTCATCCATCACGGATGATGAAGTGTAAAAATATTCGTGTTTTTTATATAGTGACAGTTGTACAGCCACAGCTGGGCAGATGATCTAAGCGCCGATGAGTCAGACGGTTTTGGACGCCAAATCTATATCTAAAGGCTTAACCAGCGTTCCACTGGGTTTTGTCTACTTTGTTTAGCAGTAGTTTTGTATAATGATGTTGTTGTCTTTGCTACGGGGGCACTGCCCGCTATCCCAATGGCAGAGTTTACACTTTGCTTACTGGTGCGGCGGTTCGCATGTTGCAAGATTGCACGAACCAGGATCGAACGAGATTGAACCCAACTTAGCTGTCTCTCTCCATTGTGTGACAAGACAGAAGAGGCGCAAATAGGATGCTAAGCATCATGCAGAGATCTTGTAGGAAAAAAATCCACAAGCCAAATTTCTCCCTATGCTTTTTGACATGAATTTTGTTTGACATTAATTTTTTCACGTAAATGCACAGTTATTCCAAATTGTGTGTGCTCACACGAGGACAAGATCGTTCTGATATCGACCATATGTAGCCTTTGGTTAGGCACCAGTGATTTTTAACTGGTAACTGTGGTATTTCCAACCAAAAATCGATCGCGATTCACAGAAATGTAAATAGGATTTTATATAATAATGATTTTCAGTGAAGAAGACCCGAGCTGCTACCGGGCAAGAAATCTTCCCTGTAATTTTCTCCCATGACTCATCTTTAACTTCATATCCCTGCTGCCCAGTCTTAACTACACATCTGAGCTAACAGACACGGGGGGAATCATAGCATGTACTTTACTCTTGAGGTATTCCGTAATTATTTTACCTTTCTTGTAGTCAAGGCTAGTATTAGGCCGCACGAGAAAATTGATCACAACAGACAACAACAGTGGCACGGCCTAAGTAATTTCTACCTGGCCCTTTTGTTCCTATATTCTCTGAATACTCAATATAATTATTAAAAAACACAATACATTTAGGATTATTAATATTGCACCAGGGTCTAGGAATGCATTCCATCCATATTTTAACTCGGAATTTTATAGATACATCTGTAAACTGGGATATTTACCGTACATCGTGACAAGAAGGCATTACATTCTTGTTTATAGTTAACTACCTCTTTTCCACACTAATTAAAGAAGACACAGCGAAAACAAAGAAACACAGTAGAAACACATAAAACTAAATAGATTGTCAGGGTTAGACCAGCCGGAATAATTGTTTATGGCAATGTACTGTTTCTTTCACGGAATTCATTTGTTCGTGGAAGACCTCATTTGCCAATTGATCAGACGCGACAGACGCTCTAGTAAACGGTCGATAGCACTCTATGGTTCAATTTATTTCAGAAATGTGGAATAAATCCACTTATTGCCCCGGTCGTCGGTACACACATTTACATATTCGCCCTCTTAATATACAGCGGCGCATCTGCTGTCTCTCAACCTCTAACCAACGGAGAATTAACGAAAAGATGAAGTTTTCCTGGAAACGATTTGTGTTTTTCCCCCGTGAAATCTTATTAAGAGGGTAAGATTAAAGGCCTCAGACACTGGAGACTAATTTACTGAAGACTGCTGATTATTTTCTCAATCCATTAGGGACGCCTTGTCATATAAAGATATCAACGGGTTGACATTCAATAACCGGCACATCCTAAACGGACAATAAACTCTCTCTCTCTCTCTCTCTCTCTCTCTCTCTCTCTCTCTCTCTCTCTCTGTGTGTGTGTGTGTGTGTGTGTGTGTGTGTGTGTGTGTGTTTGTGTGCGTGCGAGCGAATGCGTTAAAGTATGCATGCGTACATGTGTATATGTTTGGGGACAGGAATATGGAGCGTTTTCAGTCTGCACCTTGATGTTCACAGCACCCGTTTTTCAAAACGTCGTCGTCATTTGTGGTCCAGGCTTGCGGTACACCTCAACAGTACGACATCTTGTTCGATAACCTTCCCAACTCCTGTCTTGAACTTGGCTTGGCGGGAAAGCCAACAGACCACACTGACTTTGATGAACTTGTTATTTCCAAACACAAGGACTCACTGCACGCGATGTTACGATACACGTGGTTAAAGTGGGAGAAAACAATAACAGAAATTCAATTAACTGACATCTTAATAGTTTTGTATGTATATTTCAATAACAGTACTTCACTTGTGTCTGTGATCACTATCTCGTCTTATCTCGTCTTATCTCACGAGATTGTGTGATTAACGGGCCTCACGCCCTCAAAAAGGGATAAACATTTTTACTGGGACCCCCTTGACAAACCCCTTGCCCCCCCCCCTAAACCCTTCCCTGTACACGACCACCTGGACGTCTGCACTACAGACCTGCTGAATATTGTATACATGTATAACTGATGAGTAAATTTATGAATTAGTGAAAAAGAGATAGGAAATTGAATGCTAGGAAGAACAGAATAACAAATAGGCAAATAATGAGATAAATCAGCGAGGAAATTAATAAGTTCGTTCATTAATTTTCATAGAAAAATAAGTAAGAGTAAAACCCCCAAATAACTGTAAGATTTAAAATTGAAAGAAATGTTTTCGTTTTTGTTTCAGCTCTCATTATGTAAGTATTTCTATATTTCTGTTTATATTTCAGTTCTCGTTATTAAATAGACTAAAAATATTATATGAGAATCCAACATGAACTCCACTTGTTTTTGTTTCAGGAAGAAAATCAATGTTTCAAAGGAACGACAGTAAACTGGCTGAGGGCAGAGAGCCTCAACTGAATCGTTTTGTCAGACAAATATCCTCTCTCCCTACACAGGTAATACTTGGATATTATTTACGTCTACTAAATTGCTTAAATATAGAATATTGTTTGAATTTCAATCCTATTGTTTCAATGCTTGGCCCAAAATATCGGATTAATAACCTGAAAGGAACAATTCTGCGCCAACAATTAATGTTTTCTGCTCGGAAAGATCTTTAGATACATCTGAATACACTTCATGGAAGGAAATAAAGTGTAATATAATTTTACAGATTAAGAAATTGAATTAACTGCGCTTTGTAAACGTCCAAAAAAGAGGCAACTTCCATCTATCATCTTCATGTCAAGAGGAGAGTTTGAGTCTTTTGGCAGTAAAACAAGTAAATGTGTTTGTAAAAACGACTTAGACTGAAACACGTACGCGGCCATAGCCTAATTTCTTTTGCTATACGCGAACGATTCCACCCATCAGATAATTCACACCTTAAGAACCAGTCAGGGTCTCAGTCCACGAAAAGGTGGACGGGGTCGCGCCTTGGAGCTCTGTACGCCCAGCTAATTGCCGTGGATGAACCATTTGGCCACCAGTCTTCCGCTATCAAACATACCAGAGTGCACGCTAGGAACGCGAAGGGCAGTAAAGCACAGTAGCCGCTCCACTTGAGAGCCACACAGCGTGTAGGGAAGCTGACATTTTAAGATGGAGAATAAAGCGGAGAAAGGTGTTAGAGCGTGGTGGTTAGTTAACTGAGCGTAAAAGAAAAGGGGAAACAGGATATGCTGCAATGCCTTCCATATATTTATGTTGAGGCAAAAGTGATTTTTTTTTTTTTTTTGCTTAAAAAGCCATAGTTTACATGTTCAAGTTTTCAAACACCACCAAAAAAGAAAAAAATCTGGCATGAATGATAACGTCAAACACGACATTTCGTCTTGCGGTTTGTATATATTTTTATTGTTAAAAAAGCATCTTTAAACCTTCTTTTTGTATTATCAATGCAACTGTTTCGACCTAACTGATAAATAATTCATTGATCGACAGCGTGATATTTTTCTTGTGTTGGTCGTATCAGTTACACAAATTGGAGTGTGTTTTTGCCCTTTCAGTTTAATTTGGGCTACATACAAAAGCACAAAACACTTTTTTCATCCTTTCCTAATGTATATTAAATCCAAATTGTGACGCTCAGTAAAAAAAAAAATCGACCGCCCATGCTCTGTATTTGGTTCCCATACGTTTTGTTTTTTATCTGGCGGTAGTCAAGGGTTCATATCCCGTGCTGCTTAGTCTCAGTAACTAGGTTATCTCCGCCGCCCGCCGGTTGCGTGAGAATAAATCAAACTAAGACCAATTTCACAAGGCAGCTGCTTCGACCAGTATACCCCGAGTTTCCACGCGTCCATGCTTTGTTTTATAACCACCCTTCTTTGTATATACGTTAAACTAGGCGGTTAACGCGAAAATTAAGATTGAGACCGGAAAGTCCTGACACTCAGGGTGCCGCGATGGTGAAATAAAGGTTGTGTCGGAGCGTGAATATCTGCCCCCAAAAATCAGGGTACATGGACTCCCACACATGCACCAGAATGTGATGAATTGCACAAATATCTTACCAGACACATCGATGGCTAAAAGCTTTTTCCAGCACTAAATATATGTTATTTATTACAGCAGGTGCTGTGGAGATTCTGCCTTGTTACTGCTGTTAGACCTAATCTATATAGAAAACCCCGCTGTTATTACATTGTCTGTGTCTGTCCAAAATTCTAGATATATTTTTCTATCTCATTTGTATTTCCCTTTTATCGGAGGTAAACTATAAGTAGATATTTTTTTCTGACCTAATGGCAGCAGAAATAATTAATACTTTGTCTTGAACGTTTCAACCCCGTCCTCTCGAAGTCCATGTACCGTGGCTGAACGCTACTGAGAGGGTTTGAGAGGTATTATATGGCTGTAAATGACCCCAAGATTAAAATATTTTAATTTTAACTAAATTGGCTATCGACAAATGTATGAATTTGAGCTAGCGCTACGAGCTTTACAATTAGTGAGAGAAAGCTATAAGCGTCGTTTTAGTCCCGAGAGCAATGAAAATCATTTTTCTAAACGAATGTTTCCCTATGCTTTCAGGCGCATCTCATAATGTGATTTGTGTATCCTGGGGTGAAGCTCGGATTATTGGTTTTAATAGGAACACGATTATTGGATATAATTCCGCTTTTCGTGATTGAGTGTTTTGTAATTGTGCTTTATAGTTATAAAATGAAATGTTTAATAAAACTGATCAAATTGTGTTCATATTTGCAGGTATCACAGAGCCCTCTAGTCTTATCCTTCTTCGAATCACGAACCACGGACCCCAAGCCCTTCAAACACGACTCCTCTCTCCATGACAACCAGCATGACGACGATGATGACGTGGACTACCTCAACGGTAACCATGACGACGATGACGACACGGATTTCTTCATAGACATGACGGACCTCATGCTGACTGAGGACGTGGACTGGAACATGGCGCTGCAGCCTAACAGCCCCTCGAGCAGTAACGCAATATGGGGCTCGTATCTTGACCGCTGTCCGAAATTGCTCAGTAGCAGCATGAACGACCTGACGATTGACCCTTTCACTTATACAGAATTCGCGGAGACTTTGAGTGAGCAGGAGGAAGGAGTGAGTGACACAGAGAACGACAGTGGTGTGCAGGAAGACACCTTGACGGAGTCCTCGACAAGCAGTTCCTTAGACTCCATCAGCAGTTCCAGCAGCGTCAACAGCAGCTCGTGACGTCATGACAGCAGATTGTGACGTCATGACAGGGGCACGTTAAAAGTCGACTTTTCTCACGAAGTCGGCCGAATTTTGTCGGGTTCAGTCGTCTTTAGACGCTACTGAGATAACGCAGAAGTGACCTTAGTGGATTTCGTAATAAGTCAGGTTTGGCACAGCCAACATATAACACTGCAATATAATTTCAGTGTATGAGATTCAATCAACCAACAATTGACATGATGAGTTGGATGAATTCCTACAGTTGCCAAAATATCTCATGGGAGAAAACTGCTGTTTAATCTGACTGTTAGAAACCAAGCTGACGTTTTAAACACACCCGAAGAACTGCTTTAAGAGACACTGCTGGTCAGTGAGATGACGCTTTGGGTGTGTGTGGGGAGTCATGGCGGAACGTGGAGATTTGCATTAGGATAACATAATGTGAAACTGAGCAATTGTTTTATATGCGGACATTCATGACACTGAAAAGATCCTTTACAAGACATTATTTCGAAAACAAGTGCAACAATAATATTTAAAAGATGTGCAATGAAGACATTACCAAAAGCATTAGGATTGTGATTACTGTCTTCCTGTAATAACATATTAACAAATGGGTTCTTCCTACCACTTTGTCTTCCGTTAGACCTACCTGTATATAATGGGGTCTAAAAATACTCTCTGACTGACAAAACACTGTGTCCAGCCATTTTCTGGAATTGCATTAGTTAAAGTATAGCCGCCTTCCCTAAACCAGGATGTAACTGTACAAAGGTTATAACAAATTCTGGAAACCGGAAGTCATCTTGCAGGCGTTTCAACCAGATTCAGGAGACGCGCCAGGACAAAGAAGTCGTAACGTTGACTTTAAGTGGTGCAAAAGTAATAATTGTTTCTTTTTAATTTGAGAATAATGTAAATATTTTATTCCTAGAATTGATACTCTGTCTTCCATCTCGAACTCCTTGACATTATATTTGGCTTCTAGAACAAAATGTCCAAGGATTTCCCATTTCTCTTTCTGGTTCTGATTCTGTACGGAATCGTACGAGATAAGCCGAGTGCTTTGCTTCCATTCTTTATCAAATGAGGCAAAACAATGCGTAAATATTAGATAGTCGCTGGCAGCGTGTTTTGGTGTTTTGACTGATCCATACAATGTGGAAATTTTAATAATTCTGGTATAGAGACGTTCTCGGCTCCATTTTGAATTGCTCTGTATGTACATGCACCTTGGGCTTTTATTTACGAAGAATAAGTGTTGTCTCTAACTGAATTGTAATTTCCTTAATCGTGTTTCATATATGTCGTATCGTATGTAGGGATCGAATATCTTCATACCAAATGGTATTAGAGGTTTTCTTGTGATCTAGATCAGAACAAAACATCTACCGTATAAAGGAGGCGGGCCATATTGGAACAAGTGAATGATTTACCATTGTGTTAAGTGTTTTATATACGGTAGACTACTAACAGCATCCATCAGGCTAGAACTGACTTGTATCGATATGTTATAAGATATATTAACACTGGTCAAGCTCGTTGGTCAAGATATTTAGACACTGACCATGCCCATGACATTGGTCACGCAATGTATAATTTGACCATCACAAGTGCACCATTGATAAATGTCCAGAGGTCATTTGTAAGGTATTTTGATGGCTAATCAGGGCATCTAAAACACTGTGTGTTCAGTTCCGTGTACTTCACGACTCAATCTTTAATGGCCCATGTGTGTTGAAGTACCGATACTTATCACATTAGGGCTGTCACTTTTATATCCACACCCAGAAATTACTCCCAAGAATTTTCGACCAACCCGTCGGACTTTTATAACACTTTGGTTATATAAAAGCTAATCTACGTACGTGAATTTAACAAGGACTAAGTGCTTCTAGTACAGTGTGCTCATCAGCCAAATTCAATTACTAACATGTTTAGGTTTTACTTAATGGTAATTTCTAAATGTTTGGTACCTTTGGCGTCCATTGATGTAAATTTGCATTGGAATCTTATATTAAATCAAGCAGAAGAGCCTAACACATATTAAAGGAGCATGTTTTATGTGTATATCAGTTCACTATGTTTTGTTTATAGTTGAGACAACTGCAATACTTTCTCCAAAGGACTATATTGATGTTTTTATTCATCGTTCCAAGTTGTTCTTCTGTTTGGTATATTAATCATTAGCGTGAATGTGACTTTTAAGTTAAGTTTTTAAAAAAGTTTGAGTGAAAACTATGGGAAATAATGATTAAGGATACGAAGAGTTCTTGAAAATTATAAACTTGTGTGTAAAATCATTCAGATAGGATGTGCAAGTATTCTGTGGCAGATAGTGAGAATGGGGTGTTGTACGTGATTTGTACGTCTTAAGTCATTTTGTTTCTTACTGCTGTTGATCGTGTGTTATTGTTATTAAATATATACATCGTCACTTTATCATATTACACAAAACTCATGTTGAATCTACTTGAATGTTTTAATAAAAAAGGAGATCATTTATGGTGTTCAGTTTGTCAATTGCCGGGAAATTCCTTTGATCTCCAGTCTTAATTTAGACAATACATTTCGATTAAATTTGGCCTTACAACTTAAACTGAAACACCATAAGGAAACATGGTGTAAATACTTAGATTATTTAGATCATATATGTTAAGAAATAAAAACAAATCGTACCATGTGCCCGTAGTGTCAACGTTCTTGATTTCGGGCATTTTGGAATTGACTGACATGTTGAATTTCACTGCCTATTACATTATGCAATTCTGTAACGCAAAGGTTCTCATCACTCCTTTAAATACAGCATGTGTTCTTTATGACATTTACTTCATCCAATTCCACCGTCTTTTTTTCGCTAAAAATATTAATAAAAAAAAGAAGCCCCACATTCGCAGTGAGAAATGTCAACGGTATCCAAACCTGTTATATAAAAAGCGATATGGAATCTTGGTGCAACAGCACTTAAGTTTTGTTCTCCTTGGTGTAAAAGTACTTAAAAACGATATCTACAGAGGGGAAATCTGGCGCCAGTTGTCATTCAATATCGTGAGACTGCGATTACTTTAACTCATCCTTTTTGGTGTTTTTGATAGGAAATAAATCTTCAATTTCGCTCAAATTAAGAAGCGAACACAAATACGTTACATCAATAAAGTTTTTTGTAAGAACGCAATTGGTAAATCAACAGGCATCTATAACTCTGTTACACACCATAAGGTCTGTTTCTGTAACCGGCCTGCTTTTGATTCTAAGCCGTTCCCAGAAATGAGGAAATACGGAGAGAAAGCGGATCTGTTTCTATTATCTCTGATTGTAAAAATTTGGTGTTTGAGCAGTGTCCGTAGCTATCGCAGCAAGAAGCATGTTACTTATTAGAAATTAGACTTTATTTCTTTTTAATGCAATTTGGTCCTATTCTCAGTCTAATTTATCGTTTACCACGCGTCACCCTTACATTATTTCACCGCGGCCCAAGAAGGGTGTCCGTGAAGCCAACTTCAGGTGATGATAATAATTTATCTGTCCAAAGACCATCAGGGAAACACTGACCACCAGATCAACATTAAGCAAATAACTCAATTGCGTTGACCGTGGTATGTTACCTGGATAAGGTATGTGACCCTTTAAGGTTACAGATAAACCGCAGTGCAAGGTACCACACAGGGTACCATGACCAGGTACCACCTGATATCACGGGAAGGTACCACACAGGGTACCATGACCAGGTACCATCTGATATCACGGGAAGGTACCACACAGGGTACCATGACCAGGTACCATCTGATATCACGGGAAGGTACCACACAGGGTACCATGACCAGACACCATCCGATATCACGGGATGGTACCGTCATGGTACCCTTATGGGTAAATATTATACAGAATGGTAGTATAGGAATAACTTTGTATCAGGCTAAAAGCGGACCAGGTGGTCTGAGAGTGCTTTAACACAGTTTTGATATCCATCGCTTTAAGCCTTGTAAGTGCATATCAAGGTTACCAAAGTGGTGAAATTGGCCGTATCTCGGGGGATAATCTTTAAGACTGGATATAAGAGAGAGGATTAGATAAATAGGATGCAATTTGTTAAGTAAAATTGGGTTTGAAGTAAGTTACGGCGCAGGAATAAAAGAATGCTGCCCTTAGAGCGGACCAGATCGATAGCCAGAGAATTTTAGGAGATTCGTTTTCAACAAATTTGCATCGAAGGAGAAGTTTTTATTGAACGATGTTCGCCTGTAGTCATCTGACATACCAGATATAGAAAAACTCTGTCAGACTCTAGATAAGTGTCGATTTCATTTTTCTTTTTGAAATGAAACTGACCTTAACTGCTGATGTCTATTGACAGGTTCGTCCTTTAGTATAAAGGTCACACACTGTTTTGTTACTGGTGACAACATCTCGCTGTCACTTGTCCACTTTACATGGTTCACTTCCCAAAATATTGACAAAATATTGAATAATAAGATTGAAGTAATCGAACTCGTTTCCTAATGCATGTATTTTCCAGCGCAGGCAAATCCGACTTCAAATGAGTCAATGTTTTGCTTTCCAAAAAATATCTCCCCAAGTTTCCAAGACTACCGTATACCAAGAAACCCTGGTAGTACTTTCAATTTCCATTTACTGATATTGCAACTAAGTGGTCAGAATTCTCTGAAAGTCAGTGTGAAAATGACTGATATAAACACGAAATGCTCCATGATAGAAGCAACCAAATCAAATTATATCAGTCCGACTCGATTCGGAAATGAAGTAAAACGAAAACGTCAGCACCAACTGAAAATTGATTGGAACGCTTATGTCTCACTTTCCCAAAAATATTGGCATGTGTGTCTGATATATTTTGACTGGCGCGTCCCGCGGGTCTGCTTAGAGCACTATTGTCTTTGCCTGCATTATTGACACTGGTCCCACACGTGCTCGGAATAGATCTCGATAAATACAACGAGCGCGTTTATCACTTCTGGGATGACAAGATTGCACGGAAAATTAGATTACAGGAGAGACATGAATTATATTGAATGAAAGATGGATATGAACTAGATCGACTGCGGTTTGCTCCATTTCAGCCGCAGTGGAGACGAGTCGGTCTTTGGTAATTTATTCAGTACTTGTGGAAAGATCGCTGCACTGTCCTCGTAGTGTCAGTTTAATTTAAAATCATGTCTATCCATACGCTGATAAATGTGCATATTTCTCTCCTAAGCTGAATTGAAACCAGTACCCCCGCGTGAAAATTGCATCTATACACAAAATAAATAGGCACATCCTAAAACAAAATCACTCAGCTCAAAATAAGTGTAAAAATCTGATCTTCAAAACTTTCAGAAGGTCCCTGACTTGAAAACTCGAGAGACAGATGATCACAGACAATATTAATTCTCGCTGACATTTTGTTTGAACAAAAACACCCTTTCTTATACAACAGCTTTGTTGAAAATCAGTTGCTGAGACATAATTGTAAAGTAATCACGTTTTACTAACAATGAATTGCAATCATTGCTGTGAATAAGCTATATACATATAATCATTTTTTGGTGCCACCTTATCTTTAATCCCGTAAAACTAACCGCGTGTGATGGCTTCATTACGTAAAATACGCCAATCGTCTTGCACGGTAGAAAAAAAGAAATAATGTTGGATAACCCCCTGCAAAGCAAGAGGAAAGATAAAAGGAAACCGCTGAGTGCAAAGCAACACATGAACGTTAGAAACTATGCTGCATTAATAGCTTTTGCCTTTCGTTTGGCCCTTATGACGTCATTGTGACGGAGATAAGATTTGAACTGCCATTCACATTCTGCATTCGTTATCTTTCTTTTTTTATCTCGAAGAGGCATACTGGGTTACGATAAACTAGATCTCTCTTGAATTGCTCGGGTAGCTAAATATTTACATACTTTCGGTAGAGTTCAATCTTCTATTTATTTTCTCTGGTGCTTGCTTTTACAGGGCTTCTTAATCCACGTTTTTTGTGCTGATTCCTATCTGATTTGCCGAAACTGACGTAAGCATGGGGGAAATATCTGTACCATTTTTTCTCCGCACCTGTATGTTGTCGGCAAAATAGCTCCAGGTGGTACAAATATGTTCTCCACCGCTGGTAGTCTGAGGTAAATAATTACTGGAAAATCTTGCCATCCCAGATCTGTAAATGTCCTCCAGACCTGGGGAAGAATTTTAGAAAAAAGTTAAAGTGACTGTCTGCATTCTAGAGCAGTATTGCTATTTTAATTAATTTTTTCTATTTTATTTTAATCACTTTTTATCCTGTTTGATTATTTATTTATTTATTTATTTATTTATTTATTTATTTATTTATTTATTTATTTATTTATTTATCATTGTCCTGAAAGTTGCCAAGTTGTTTTTGTGGTGATCATGAAAATCCATATCAGTTTCAATCATTGAATCATAGTTAATAACATCAACAAGATTATCAAAACGAAAAAACAACATTTGGTTCTGTTAATATTTGTGTAACTAAAATACCAGAAAAAACTTACCAGCAACGCATTAGACAGTAGTGCTGAACAATATATTAGTTCTTCTTATAAGACAACAATGATAATCAGCAGCAGAAGAGAGAATAACAATGTTGTCTAACAAAACGGACGATTAGCCTAATTAAGCTTTCTGTAAAAACAGTGAACAGCGAGAATCAGAAAACAGAAACCCTTGAAAATATGGCGCACAGTACTGGAATTTCAAACATTGAGTTCAAATTAAAACATGCTACGAGTAAGAAATAAAGATTATGTGGATGTGTAACGAAGAATGAAAGGGAACATATCTTCAAAATTACAAACAAGAAAAACTACCTTGATTCTGAAGCGATGAGTCGAAGGAAAAGCATTTACCTGTGGGTTCAGACAGACTCAAAACGCTTCGTGTTCAAAGCCACACCTGGCAATGCGACTGAACCAAATTATGCTTTCTGTATAAAGTAAAAGAGAGAACTAGAAAATGGACAGCAATGGGACGGCATGAATGAAGAACAATCTTGGAATTTCAAGAATTGTATTCAAAGCATTTCATGAAAAGGAAGAAAGAAGTTGAAAAGGTTTTTGCAGTGGCTTGATGAGTAACGTTATCACAACTTACCAGATATCATCCCTAATGGCTGAGACATGAGTCGAAGCCAAAAAACATTTACCATCATTGTGTGCTCCGACTTGGACCAGACCGCAACAGTAATGTATCAGAAGTTTATTTGCATTAAACCGTTCTCTGTTCAAAATAGCGAATTTTTTGTTGGCGGCGTCGAAAATCTGTAGGTCCAGCTTGGGGGGGGGGGATGGGGGGATGAATGGAGGTATTGAAACGTACTCTCTGGGAAATAAAAACAACTGATGTATTGGTCAGGTAATCCAGTCTGATGATTCAATCTAGACCAAACCGGTCTTGGTCTCACCACGTGTCTGAGTGCGCCCTCTATCTGTTAACTTGAGATAAATGTCCTGTAAACAACCCTCTGTTCTGGCAATGCGTCAGAAACCAAGGAGTAAATACCACATATGGCGGGGTGCAGAAGCTATCTGTTCTTATAAACCGCATATCAGAACTAGCGGCAAAATATGGGGAAGAAAAAGAGGATGATAAATAAATGGTTAGGCATTGCCACTAGACATAGTGATCAAATAAGAGAGAGAGAGAGAGTGTG